CTGGCTACAAAAAGGTTTACAAGCTGTGATACTTGCCAAAGGGGGGGGAGCAGTACAAGATATTAACTCTGCAGGGTGCCCTAACTTTTGCAGACGCCATTTTTTTGTTTTCTGTTATTTTGAAAAGTTGTAAAGGATGTGAAATAATTTGATCTAACTTTTGTTGACATATTATAAGAATGTCTAATCTAAGTAAATTTGATGCCTTTTGGAGATTTTTCCATCTTTCCTTGGCTTCTTTATGCACATTAATACAAATTTTTTAGCTGGGAGTGCCCAAACTTTCGTATTCCCCACTGTACATACAGAAGAGTGATAAAGAGAGACATACAGAAGGAGTGATAAAGAGAGACATACAAGAAGAGTGATAAGAGACACATACAGAAGAGTGAGAGATACATACTGAAAAGTGATTAAAGAGAGACATACAGAAGAGCGAGAGGATACATACAGAAGAAGTGATAGAGAGAACATACAGAAGAGTGATAGAGAGACATACAGAAGAGTGATAGAGAGACATACAGAAGAGTGATAGAGAGACATACAGAAGAGTGATAGAGAGACATACAGAAGAGTGATAAAGAGAGACATACAGAAGAGTGATAAAGAGAGACATACTGAAGAGTGATAGAGACATACAGAAGAGCGGAGATACATACTGAAGAGTGATAAAGAGAGACATACAGAAGAGTGAGAGAGACATACAGAAGAGTGATAAAGAGAGACATACAGAAGAGTGATAAAGAGAGACATTACAGAAGAGTGATAAAGAGAGACATACAGAAGAGTGATTAAAGAGAGACATACAGAAGAGAGGACATACTAAAGAGTGATAAAGAGAGATACAGAAAAGTGAGAGAGAGGGGGAAGAGCGAGAGATACATACTGAAGAGAGAGAGAGAAGAAAAGGCTTGGGTGGGGAATCCACACATCAGATTGTTACAAATACTGGCGTGGATTTTTCCCTCCCGAATGCATAGCATACCCTCATCCCAGCAGGCAGGTACCGCACGCCTTCATAGATTTATTTCCTTTGTTGATTTACCTGCTTCGCTCACACTATTTGCAATTGAAAATTGCTCTTTAAGTTGCCAATTTCACCGTTTTCTAGAGATTTTCAAACTAGTTGTGATTTCAATTGTGTTTAGCAATGCAATTTCTATTGGAGTCTAGATGTGAATTGCTACTAAATGGCCCAAAAGTTAAACAAGAACTACCTTTGAACTCTCGCTGCAACAAATGGCGTACGTTAATACACTCACATTCACATTCATTATATCCAATATCAGGTACAATGCCAATTCACAAATCACACCAGAAATTGCACACCCTGGATGTGACTTGTCATGTGATTGGCATGGCCAGCAGCTTGCCCTTTGCATGGCAAATTGCTCACAATGCTTTACATGGGGGCTAACACCACTGTCACATCTAATCCGATGTGGCAATTGCCCAACTTACAGTGAAGTTGCTACGAGTTCACAAATCCAATTGGATGTGAAACAGAGCCTACAGTGGACAATAGGGTGCGACTTGGCCTACGATTTGCAAGTCGCATGTCATGCCAATTGCATGCCAAATCGCAAACAATCTTTTACTGGGGGGCTACCCCCCGGTCAAATTAAAAAGCAGAATTCTAAGTGGTGTTATTTACACTACCGCGGTCACATCATGTGACTTACAGTGAAGTGGCATGATTTCAGAGTCGGGGGACATGCTGATTTTAAAGTGCGATTTGCAACATATTTGACACAGATCTCTCTGCAAAACGCATATGAAAAGTAGTGTATTCATTACTTTAGAAATTGTTGCGGCTCCAACCAAGTTTGAACCACACCAATATGAAACGCTCTAATAGCGGGTCACATTGAGTGCGACTTGGCATGTGATTTGCATGACATGCGACTTGCAAATCGTATGCCAAGTCGCACCCTATTGTCTGCTATTAGAGAGGTCACATGGGTGCGATTCCAACTCTGATTTCTATAGTAGTACATGTACTAATTTTGTGGAGATTCGCATAGATATCTGTGTCAGATGTCTTGCAAAATCGCAAGGAAATCGGCATCTTCACTGTACGTCGCCACGATTTCTAAATCGGCTTTGATGTGCCCTCCGCGGTTTGTAAGGCCTTTTTATGTTTGATTTCCTGAGTGTTTTTCTTGATTTATGGAGAAATATGGTAAATGCCGCATACTAGCAAAAGTGAATTGACATTTTCAGTATTGCATGCAAGATGTGGTCATGTGACTGCCTTAACTCATGCGATGATCTGGAGATGGTGAATTGTGCCCCTAGGGCCAAGTCAAATATTGCCAATAGGGTTCCCTTCACATCCCCTGTTCAATGTTCTGTTGTATGCTGCACAGGTTACACGTCACTGTGGCTTTCTTTCTGACTCTGATTTGTGGGGGCCTGTATACCAAGGGTTAACGCAGGTGGGAAGAGGATTCATCAGGTGCAAACACTTTCTCTTACCAAATGAATGACAGTGGTGGGGGTGTGGCCTACCTTATATAAAAGAGTTGCAGTTGTGGCTGATTTTGCCTTGTTTAGGCACATTATTACTGCATGTCCTTGTCTGTGGTGGTTTGTTGGGGGAGGAAGAGATATTGTGGTGAATTGCCCCAGGCCACACTCACGCTGTGTTTGGGGGGGGGGGGGGAGAGATATTGTGGTGAATTGCCCCAGGCCACACTAGCTCGCTGTGTTTGGGGGGGGAGAGATATATTGTGGTGAATTGCCCCAGGCCACACCCACGCTGTGTTTGGGGGGGGGGGGAAGAGATATTTGTGGTGAATTGCCCCAGGCCACACTCACGCTGTGTTTGGGGGGGGGAGAGATATTGTGGTGAATTGCCCAGGCCACACTCACGCTGTGTTTGGGGGAGGAAGAGATATTGTGGTTGAATCGCCCCAGGCCACACTCACGCTGTGTTTGGGGGAGGAAGAGATATTGTGGTGAAAATCCGCCCCAGGCCACACTCACGCTGTGTTTGGGGGGGGGGGGGAAAGAGATATATTGTGGTGAATTGCCCCAGGCCACACTCACGCTGTGTTTGGGGGGGGGGGGGGGGAGAGATATATTGTGGTGAATTGCCCCAGGCCACACTCACGCTGTGTTTGGGGGGGGGAGAGATATTGTGGTGAATTGCCCCAGGCCACACTCACGCTGTGTTTGGGGGGGAGGAAAGAGATATTGTGGTGAATTGCCCCAGGCCACACTCACGCTGTGTTTGGGGGGGGGGGGGGGAGGGAGAGATTGTGGTGAATTGCCCCCCAGGCCACACTCACGCTGTGTTTGGGGGAGGGGGGGGAGAGAGATATATTGTGGTGAATTGCCCCAGGCCACACTCACGCTGTGTTTGGGGGGGGGGGAAGAGATATTGTGGTGAATTGCCCCAGGCCACACTCACGCTGTGTTTGGGGGGGGGAAGAGATATTGTGGTGAATTGCCCCAGGCCACACTCATCGCTGTGTTTGTGGGGGGGGGGGAGAGATATTGTGGGTGAATTGCCCCAGGCCACACTCACGCTGTAGTTTGGGGGGGGGGGGAGAGATATTGTGGTGAATTGCCCCAGGCCACACTCACGCTGTGTTTGGGGGGGGGGGGGAGAGATTTTGTGGTGAATTGCACCAGGTCACACTCACGCTGTGTTTGGGGGGGAAGCCAGGCCACACGCACCTTTTGTGGTGAGTTGCCCCAGGCCACACTCACGCTGTGTTTGGGGGGGAGAGATTTTGTGGTGAGTTGCCCCAGGGCCCACTCGAACACGCTGTGTTTGGGGGGGGAGTAGACTATTGTGGTGAGTTGCCCCAGGCCGCACTCACGCGGTGGCTGTTTGGGGTGGGGGGTAGGGAGAGATATTGGTTGGTGAGCGTTGCCCCAGGCCACACTCACGCTGTGTTTGGGGGGGGAAGAGATATTGTGGTGAATTTGCCCCAGGCCACACTCACGCTGTGTTTTGATGTGGGCTGTAAATGTTTTGCATGTTCTTCCTGCATAAGGTGTTTGTGTTATTGTACATGATTGTGTTTATTATCTTTGCATTGTAATCCTAACACACGTCCATTGCTCTGCTCTTCCAAGTTTGCTTTATTTAGAATGAAATGCAGTTTTCAGACAAACCTGATGAGAGATGTATGTGTGGGGGATTTGGGGAGGTGGGGAGGTGGTTTTTATTTTGGCACGTATGTATTTTTATATTCATTATTTTGATCTGCGCCTGTTTTGTGGATAGATAAGCCTACTAAGTGATTCATATTAACCGTTTGTTTCCTGATGTATCACCTGTGAATGCACAGTTCATTAGAAGTATATAATCTTTTAGATTGTAGGCTCTTATGAGCAGGAGCCGTTCTATTTTAGCACAACATCAATCCTGCTTTTTGTTTTTTCACCAAGAAATTGATAATGTAGCTACTTGTTGCTGTCCCAAATAAATGTGGAATGTGTATTTGATCAATAAACATTTGGACTATTTTTTTTGGGGGGGATTTTTTATGTTCTTAGTTCAGGGGTCCTCAAACTTTTAAACAGGGGGCCCAGTTCTATGTCCCTCAGACCGTTGGGAGGGCCAGACTATAGTTTTAAAAAAAAAAAAAAACTAAAGAAACAAATGCAGAACAGTACAGGATGACCAGAGACTGCGGACACGTACAGGGGGATGACCAGAGACTGCGGACACAGTACAGGGGATGACCAGAGACTGCGGACACAGTACAGGGGTGACCAGAGACTGCGGACCACAGTACAGGATATGACCAGAGACGGGACAACATATTACAGGAGATGACCTCAGAGACTGCGGACACAGTACAGGGGTACCAGAGACTGCGGACACAGTACAGGAAGATGACCAGAGACTGCGGACACAGTACAGAGTGACCAGAGACTGCGGGACACAGTACAGGGGATGACCAGAGACTGCGGACACAGTACAGGGGATGACCAGAGACTGCGGACACAGTACGGGGGATGACCAGAGACTGCGGACACAGTACGGGAGATGACCAGAGACTGCTGGACACAGTACGGGAGATGACCAGAGACTGCGGGACACAGTACGGGAGATGACCAGAGACTGCGGACACAGTACGGGGGATGACCAGAGACTGGCGGACACAGTACGGGAGATGACCAGAGACTGCGGACACAGTACGGGAGATGACCAGAGACTGCGGACACAGTACGGGAGATGACCAGAGACTGCGGACGCACAGTACGGGAGATGACCAGAGACTGCGGGACACAGTACGGGAGATGACCAGAGACTGCGGACACAGTACGGGAGATGACCAGAGACTGCGGACACAGTACGGGAGATGACCAGAGACTGCGGACACAGTACGGGAGATGACCAGAGACTGCGGACACAGTACGGGAGATGACCAGAGACTGCGGACACAGTACGGGAGATGACCAGAGACTGCGGACACAGTACGGGAGATGACCAGAGACTGCGGACACAGTACGGGAGATGACCAGAGACTGCGGACACAGTACGGGAGATGACCAGAGACTGCGGGGGACACAGTACGGGAGATGACCAGAGACTGCGGACCACAGTACGGGAGATGACCAGAGGACTGCGGACACAGTACGGGAGATGACCAGTTAGACTGCGGACACAGTACGGGAGATGACCAGAGACTGCGGACACAGTACGGGAGATGACCAGAGACTGCGGACACAGTACAGGAGATGACCAGAGACTGCGGACACAATACAGGAGATGACCAGAGACTGCGGACACAGTACAAGAGATGACCAGAGACTGCGGACACAGTACAGGGGATGACCAGGGGATGACCAGGGGACTGCGGACAACAGTACAGGGGATGACCAGGGACTGCGGACACAGTTCAGGGATGACCAGGGACTGCGGACACAGTACAGGGGATGACCAGGGACTGCGGACACAGTACAGGGGATGACCAGGGGACTGCGGACACAGTACAGGGGATGACCAGGGACTGCGGACACAGTACAGGGGATGACCAGGGACTGCGGAACAGTACAGGGGCGGCGGGATTACTGGCCGGCCCGCTCCATAAGACGCACAGACATTTCTCCCCAAGTGTGTCTTATGGAGCGAAATAGTGCCCCATCATTGGTGTCAGTGGGAGGAATAGTTCCCCATCATTGGTGTCAGTGGGGAAGAATAGTGGCCCCATCATTGTGTCAGTGGGAGGAATAGTGCCCCATCATTGGTGACAGTGGGAGGATTAGTGCCCCATCATTGGTGTCAGTGGGAGGAATAGTGCCCCATCATTGGTGTCAGTGGGAGGAATAGTGCCCCATCATTGGTGTCAGTGGGAGGAATAGTGCCCCATCATTGGTGTCAGTGGGAGGAATAGTGCCCCATCATGGGTGTCAGTGGAAGAAACGTGCCCATCATTGGTGTCAGGGGAGAATCGTGCCCCATCATTGGTGTCAGTGGGAGGAATCGTGTGCCCCATCATTGGTGTCAGTGGGAGAGGAATCGTGCCCCATCATTAGTGTCAGTGGGAGGAATCGTGCCCCATCATTGGTGGTGGTCAGTGGGAGGAATCGTGCCCCATCATTGGTGTCAGTGGGAGGAATCGTGCCCCATCATTGGTGTCAGTGGGAGGAATCGTGCCCCATCATTGGTGTCAGTCGGAGGAATCGTGCCCCATCATTGGTGTCAGTGGGAGGAATCGTTGCCCCAACATTGGTGTCAGTGGGAGGAATCGTGCCCCATCATTGGTGTCAGTGGGAGGGAATAGTGCCCCATTCATTGGTTTGGTCAGTGGGAAGAATCGTGCCCCATCATTGGTGTCAGTGGGGGGAGGAATAGCGCCCCATCGTTGGTGTCAGTGGAGGAGGAATAGCGCCCCATCATTGGTGTCAGTGGGTGGAAGGGGATAGTGTCCCAACATTGGTGTCAGTGGAGGAATAGTGTCCCATCATTGTTATCAGTGGGAAGAATAGTGCCCCCATCATTTGGTGTGTCAGTGGGGGAAGAAACGTGCCCCATCATTGGTGTCAGTGGGAGGAATAGTGCCCCATCATTGGTGTCAGTGGGGAAGAATCGTGCCCCATCATTGGTGTCAGTGGGGGGAGAGGAATAGCGCCCCATCGTTGGTGTCAGTGGGGGGAGGAATAGCGCCCCATCGTTGGTGTCAGTGGGGGGAGGAATAGCGCCCCATCGTTGGTGTCAGTGGGGGAGGAATAATGCCCATCGTTTGGTGTCAGTGGGGGGTGGAATAGCGCCGCCACCCATCGTTGGTGTCAGTGTGGGGGGGGAGGAATAGCGCCCCCACCGTTGGTGTCAGTGGGGGGGAGGATTAGTGCCCCATCATTATTATCAGTGACACCAATGATGGGGCAGTATTCCTCCCACTGACACCAATGACACTTAACTTGCTGCCTCTGTTCCAGCATACCTGGGTTGCAGCAGCACCATCTGCACACTGGCACACTTACCTGTCAGCTGTCCTTCTTCACTCTCCGGCCTTCGTCCCTCACTCGATGTTCGCGGGGGCCGCTCAGCTCCGCCTCCTCGCAGGTGATTGGCCGCCTGTGTGCCTTTCCTGAGCTACAGTTTCTGGCGCCCAATCACCGGTGAGGAGGCGGAGCCGAGCTGGCAGGGTGAGGGAGTGGCTGGAGTGAATGAAGGAGCAGCGCTTCCTGGACTGGATCATCGTGGGACTGGGACCGGGAGCCAGGTAAGGCACAGCAGCCCCCTGCCCCGCTCTTGTACTTCGTGTCCCTTCCTGTCCCGCCCCTGCCGGCGTGCGGGATAAATGGCCTCGGCGGCCGCATGTGGCCCGCGGGCCGTAGTTTGAGGACCCCTGTTCTAGTTGAATGTAGCACAGTGGCTAAATGGTTAGCACTTCCGCCTGGCAGTACTCGGGTCATTGGTTCAAATCCCAGCCATAGCACCTCCTGCCTGGAGTTTGCATGTTCTCTCTGTGCCTGTGTGGTTTTCCTCTGGTACTCCGGTTTCCTCCCATACGCTAAAGACATGCTGGTAGGTTAATTGGAATCCTGTCAAAATTGGCCCTAGTATTGTGTAAGTATGTAAGTTAGGGACCTTAGATTGTACGCCGCTTGAGGGTTAGGGACTGATGTGAATATATGTAAAGCGCTGAAAACATGTCCCAATTTCTAGATCCATTGAGGTACATAGCAGAGGTTCAAGTTTCTTCCTAACTATACAGGTGGCACAGACACAAGCATACACCCAGGGCCACTGTTAGATATCATGGGGCCCCGTACAGCATACCTGACAGCCCCCCCACCGCCAAGAAAATATCCAAATTATATTTAAGGTAAAAATACACTAAAAACATTATTAATAGACACAATCCCCCAACCAAATTCCTGTGCAATCTAAATGATCGAAAAAACTGTACTGAGTTCATAAAGCTGTGTGTGTAATGGAGGTCTTGGGGCTCATTCACATGGGTGCTGTGGCCTATAGAGTGGGAATCAGTGGTTGGTTTTTGTGGCTATCGCTCTTTGCAGGCACCTTATGTTACACTATGGAAATGCTGCAGGTCCTAATTTGACAAGCATATGGGTGCAGGTGTACAGCCCTGAACACAGACAGTGAGCATTCAGGGCCACTTCCCCACGCCTTCAACCTGCCAGATGACAACCTGTGTTCATACAGCTGCTGGTTTGTTCCCCCATAGTGTAACAGGTGGCTCCATCCACATGAACAACCCCCTCATCCATTGCTGTAGGACCCCGCTGATGTTTGGAACAGAGGGAGTCTAGGGACCTGGGTGACAAGAGTGCCAGTGGTGGTTGTTGCTTGCAGCTCTTGCAGATGATGACCTTGGAAGGGGGATGATCCTCTGATTTGGACATCGTAAATAATAGACAGAGCAGATTCTGTGGATTGCCAGACGTGCAAGCAGAGCAAGGTAGGTAGTGAGGACAAGAGACTGGAGCAGAGTCATGGGATAGCCAGGGTCATCAACAGTCGGAGCAGCGCGGTACAAGAATCAGAAGGAAAAGCCAAGGTCAGGAGCAGAGCCAAAGTCAGGAACCGGTTAACAGGAGAGTAATCGAAGTCGGGTCAGGAACAAGCCGGGTTGGTAACAGAGGAAATCGTACAGGAACAAGCAGGACACAAATGGGCCGTCAGGCGCCGATCTTTGCTGTGCGTGTGCGCAATCTCGCATTTATTCTGCGCATGCGCACAACCGTCAATTCTGCGGGAAATTCCTATGCGCATGTGCGTTCCCGATTCTTCTTGCCGGAAATCCCTTACAATATATATGTATATAAGACCGGTCGTGATATACTTTTCACAGCCCGCACTACCTCTGGCCACCACTAGAGGGAGACTCCAATCCACTTGCTGACCACACACAAGCAGATACGAATCTTATATACAATCTGGAGCACACTAAGTTTGAGGAGCAACCTACCAATCGGCACACCCTTCTAGGATTCCTCCACCTATCCTACAAGCTAGAACCCCAGTGTTAATCACTCTTCCACTGTCCACATCCCCCCGCACCAGACACACAACAAATGGTAGCTTGCCACCACCCAACAGTTTTATCCGCAGACTGGCCTGCTGGGCCACCACATACACCACATATCTCTGTCTGGCAGATCTGTTACCTTTACAAATCTGGCATGCAATCTGCCAACACGCAGTACAATTGCATACAGATTGGCAACTTGAACTTGACCAAGCATATAAAGACACTGCAATACAAAACAATCTCTCTGGAGATATGAGCCCGAGCTTAAGTACCCAGAACTCACTTATTTAATTTTATGATTTAATATCCCAAAAAGTGGTCAGTGCATAAAATATGTATAAAAAGTTACAGAAAATACAAGAAGACGACACACAATTGGCTATTGACTATAAAACATAAAAGGGAATACAAAACAGAAATAAAAACTTTTTACCAAGAGTTATCATCCTGCGACTGGAGCAATCAGAGAGAGTCTGCGATCTGCCAGTCAATAGAACTGGCTCCGTTTGGATCACACTGTCCATATTCCAGGTCCTCAGTTTATGGAATATGGACGTAGGCTGGACATTAGCCCTTGGCCAATCAACTCTGGGGGTTTGTTCCTGTACCAGCGCACAGGACATTCAGGGTACTGAAATGCCCAAAGTCGATTGGACCAGGAATGGTTTTAATCACCAAGTCAGGGATTGAATTTTCGAAACCATCGCATTAGTCTGATTGCGACAGTACCAATCACTGTTCAGCTGTATCTGTTGCAATCAGGTGCCATACAACCGTTTTTCTGCATTTCTCTGGGATTCTACATAGACTACAAATAGTTTTACATGCAGATGTAGCCTACAGTGTGTCCCAATCAGAAGGAAGTATTTTCATCTCTCTGCAACTAAATATTTTAGCTTTTATGAGAGACGAAATATATTCCTTTTGATCTGTGTATATACGTCAAAGCTCCCAGACACGTCACACAACCACCTCTGGTCTCCCGCTGTTTCATGAAGCCGAACTGTTTGGAGCCTTTTCCTTCTAGATTTTCAGAAGTGTGAGATAAATCCTATTGGCATCCAGGTGTCACCTCCCCTCTAGAGAATGCTCTGTCCCCTTCAGATGCTAATTGGTGACCATATGTCTCTGACTTAATTCTGAACACATCTTATATTATTATAACATGGACTGAAGCTAAACCTACATTGTCATATTTCTACAAGATCACATCTCAGCTACTCAAAATCTTACATGTATGTTACACTTTGGAAAAAACAACAGACTGGCCCTCTATGCTTACCAGGATGGAAATAGAAGAAAGAAAGCCTAAAGAAGAAAACTAATGCGCTGGTAAGCTACAACATAAATATGTTTGCTTTTGGTATTAATATCAATTTAAAGAGCTTTTTACTGAGAAACAGGAGAGGCAACATCTTAAAGCTGTAACTAAAGCAGTAACAAAATGATCCTCCTGCGTT